TATGATAACTCACAAACAAAATTAAAGTTATGCAGATACATATATGACAATTTTGAATCGATCTTACTATGATTGGAAAACTAAGTGGAAAGTGCATCACTGATTAGAAGATGCATTTTATAATCATAGTTTTATAATCGTACATAATTTATCAAAACACATTGCTGCGTATGCCTAACCAATGACTGCCTCGTCGAGCTATGTTTTGTAGTGTAGGAATAGGTTGGAAGAAAGTTAGGGGCGGCCAAACCAAAACATGGCACAAATCCATGACTAGTGGACTGAGTCATGTCGGTAGTTGTCGACTACCTGGTTGGAGTCCGCGAGATTATAATAATCGATGGTTAGAAACCCTGAATGATATGGCTCAAAATCGTTTGCAATGACGCAGGTGTTCTTTGCGTTCTCTCAAATCCTAATCTTCTGGATTCTTCAACACCTCTAGTTTTGACTTTCTAAAAGTGTGTCTGAAGGCCAGTTGAACTGACCCCTGAATTGTTCAGATCATCGATCCAATCTCCTGGATTGATAGTGAATAATATTACCATTCTTTTCTGAAATGGTCTCGCTAACAATCGGATTCGTAATTCCGGTTTCCTTGATAAGTCTGAACAGTTGTTTGCTGTTGCCTACTATTACCTACAAACGGTTTCTTTTCCATCTCTCTTGCTTTAGCTACCCACCATTGTTCAAGACCACTGCGTAGGCTTTTTACCAGCTTGCACATAGGCTGACTCCGCTCTTCTTCATGTTCAGAGCCAGGTGGTATGCATTACCGTCAAGGTCTGTTGCTCTTCCTCACTCCAGATTTCCTATCTCTTTCTCAACTTCCTAAAGAGTCGGAGGACTTATGTCGATTCGACAATCAGGATAGCTGTAAATCGTGGGCAACCGAAGTGTGTCTGAAGGCCAGTTGAACTGATCCCTTATGTGTTTAGACCATCGATCGGATCTCCTGGATTGAGAATGAGTCATATGACGATACTTTCCGAAATAGTGTCACTCACACTTGGGTTTTTAATACCGGTTTTCTTTCATGGGTCTAAATAGTTTCTTACTTTTGCCTATAGCCTCCGCCTTTCCTCTCTCTCTCTCTCTCTTTCGCTACCCACAACTGTTCACAATCATTGCGTAGGCTTTTTATCAGCTTACGCCTAGGCTGACTCCGCTCTTCGTCATATTCAGACACAGACAAGATGCGTTTCCGAGCATCTATCAGTTTGGTAGATGTTGCTGAGAAGTCACCAGCCACTATTACTATATCAAAACACCTAACTTTTTGCAGTTACCAAAACTTTCTGTAAAACTCATCTTTTACTTCATATGAGCTGCAGTTAGTGGGAGCGTAGGTAGAGACAATGAAGAGGTAACGGCACGTGTCCGCATCTTCACGAGTTCTTACTGTCACGTTGAGTCTGACGCGTATAGGCGTTAATCTACTGGGATCCAGATCGGTGTTTTTAAGGAACCTGGAAAGGATGGTAGATTAGTCTGGGTTTTATAGACCACAGAGCTCAGGGAACAACTTATTTTGGCCGGCCAGGCACTGCCTTTTTACAAGAAGTTTTCAAAGTATTAGCTCCGCTCTTGTTTATAAAGCTCTACAGCCGGAGACGGAATTCTGTGAGGTAAGGTGAGATGAAGTTCTACGGTCGACCTTTTTTCTAACCCCTTTCTTCCTTGTGAGAAGGTAGCATCTCTGCAGATGTTGGTTGACCAAGGGCACCTTACTGCTGTCATATCTCTCTACAGTCTGCAGGACAACTTCGCCCTCATACCTTGAGTTGCTGCTTTTAGTCTTATAGTTTTACAATCGACCTGCCAGGCATAGTAGAATCTAAATGAACATATTTCGCAGCCAATATAGCTCGGTTGCGTCAGCACGATAAGCAAGCCCGAACACCATATCAAGGTAGAGGCTACGGTCGGATTAGATTACAAATATAAAAAGTTGTCCATACTATTATCGAATAATTTAAATGACTAATCATTAAGATTAGTATAATGAGTAAATGGTGAGATGCTACAAACTATAATTTTTCATTTTAAGAGGTAGTGTACTGCGATGTGCCTCAGTAAAAACTAATGTGTGGTTGCCATATTAGTTATAGAATCTTGGTGACTGTACTTTTCTTTCAAACTCAAGGCCGGGGGATAGGTAGGAGTAAAACTTACACTAACTGAAGTTTAATCATCTCAATCGGACAGTTAACTATGGGTGAACTTTTATAAGTGGGTTAGGAAAATAACACTAGGAATTCTGGGCGAATAATCTAAAATGTGATATTGTATGATGTTTCAGATACAATAGATTTGCATTATAACTGATGTCAACATTCATGTGGTCTACACATTTGGGGAAAAAATATCATTTTTGTGAGACAACTTAACAAATTACTCAAACATAATTACATGTGAAAATGAATAAATCAAACAACAATGTTAGGTATCAGTTGGCAATGTTGAAAACCTCAACGTCGGTTTAGTAATCCTTGTTTTTACAAGAAATATTTTCCCTGTAAATATCTGGGACTTTTAGATTGGGCTACATCATTAGGTTAGTGTAAAAAACAATATATTCTAGAGAATACGATGAACGTGTTGAATGTGATTTTATAAATTTCACTAAATGTATAATGAATATTTCAGAATTCATTGTGCTACGTTCTCTTCATTCATGTCTATCTTCTGTTTCAGTATCTTCAGTGATAAATCTTGAATGTTTTCGTTAGTTGTTGTCATTTCAAATATTTAAAACAGTATTTAATTCTATTCTCGAACTCTAGAGAATTTGAAAACATGTATGTTGAAATTCTAATTTAGCGGGAATATCAAGTCGTACTATAATAATATAGTTATGTCCAACTATCGTGCCTTAGGAAGGTCAATAAGTCTGTCTTGAGTCCTCAAAACAGCTTACCTCAGGACTATAGCAATAAACAAAAGTTTAATGATTCAAGAGAAATAAATAATGTTCCTTTATGTAAACAAACTAAGTGGACATGTGCATATGTCTAACCATATGCCTGTCTGTTTCTCCCTTCATCAGAGCAAAATGGTAGAAATTATCATTGTCAGCAAATCAATTCATTTATAGCTGCTCACTTTAGTTCTAATCGCATATTCATAATCAGATCAATGACATCTCATGTAACGCTAAGTAGAAATTATTCTTAGAAAATAAAGATCATATATTCTGAAAAAAAAACACTGGATATATGCATTTTAGAAACGAGTCAGCCATATGCTGTGTAAATAATGTTCGAACAAAAAAACTTCGCCAAAAATAGATTGTCATTTATTCATTCGGTTTCAAAGTAATAAAGATAACTGATGTATGGGTTATTCAGAGATTACTATGATGTTCAAATGATAATCAATGTTCACTGACCTCGGTTAAGATATTACTGTAAGCCAGAGAGTGTTAGACGGCTCCTTCGTCCTAGTATAAAACTTCTGAAGGGATACAAATAAACAACCTTACTAAAAATCAGAGGTCATCTACAAAAACATTATATCAAAACTATGGCCGACAGCTCATTAGCTATAGGCTTCGAGATGAGTTTATGAAGTTTTTGTGCAAAATTAAGTCAGTTTAGATATTTCATGAATAAAACAGTCATCACCAGAGAGACTATTGGTTGTTGCGCCAAATAACAACATTCCTGAAGTAAGAAATGTATCAATCCAGTGGTTGGAAGATTTGTGGCAGACTCGGAAGTTATTGCGGTATTAGACCTGTGTGTATGGATGTCACTTTTATATTATATTTATAATTGTAATTAGTATTAATGTTGTGCAACAATCATCCATTAGTTCCCATGATACTTGACTACAGCTACCCCTAAAGACTTGTTTGACTTTTTTCAGATGAGCACCTGCCAGTTATACATTTTATTTGAAATATTTACTGTTTAACTATATATAATATACATATTCAGGAAATTAATAATTATGCTTCGTGTTTATTAAGTAAAGTATACAATCATGATATTTCTATCGTTCTCCCAATGTCTTCAATTCAACTCTTATTTATCCGTCACACAAATCAGTCAATTTGTGAATGGGCTAAGCTGCTGACTAGATACTCAAATTTGGAGCAGATAGTCTTCCTAGGGGGGGAATGGCCACTCTCTTGGACCTTTGACCTATAAGGTAGTGGAGCAAAGCAAGAAGATGCAGCCCATTGGTAGCCGGTGACCAACGATAAGTTCATACGCTATTCGTTCTGTCTGGATCATGGAATCCATATGCGCCTACTATATAAAGCAATAAATTA